GAAATAAGGAAACCCCCCACTCTACAGGCACCTGTTATGAAAACCTTCTACCCTGGCACCCCACAGTGCCCATCGTGAAACTCGGGGGGTGCCATTCATTTTGATTCATGAGAAAGACAGTCTGTCATTCTGATTTGTATTTCTTTGTTTCATGGCCCAGAATCAAATGCTTAACCCTCTGGGGGCCATTCTCCTGTAGTGCCTGGGATATGCCCCAGCCTTGCCACTCAAAGCCCAGTCCGTAACCAGCAGCATGGGCACCCCTGGGAGTTGGCTGGCAGTGCCGATGCTCCGCCCCTCCCCAAGTTCCTAGATGAAAATCTGACAAGACCCCCGGTGATTGGTGATTGTGCGCTCACAAGCCTTGCATTCTCACCCATTTTAGCATCCTTAGGAATAGCCTGGAGGGGCTGACATAGTGTCTGGGCTCCAATGCTGTGGCAAGAGAGAGGCCCAAGAAGGCAGATTTCTAACCAACTCCCAGATGGTGCCAGCGCCGCTGGTCCCCAAACATTTCAAGCAGCACCATTCTCAAAGGGAAAGTTCCTTGGCCGCAGCTTGAACTTGTTGTGCCACCACTGTAACGAGATCGGGAGACCTGGCCAACACTATGGCCCATTTTCTAGATGTGCAGTGAATATCCAAGGAGGCAGATTGGTCTGGAGAGAGGAGGAGGATGCCGAGGGACAAACCTGCTGTAGTCCTGCACGCCTCAAGCTCATTTCTTCCTCACATTACATCCCCATCCTGAGTTTTGACAGGGTTGTGTCACTCAAGGACGAGTGACCGCAGAGGGCAAGTCCAAGATGCCCCAGCACCTTAGAGGCAGACCAGAGCCCAGGTCCTAGCTCCTGTCCTGCAGTCCCCACTCCTTCCACGCCCCTGGCACCACCCACCTCATCTGAGCCACTCTTCCCGCAGAGAGTCAGAATGGGGACCCTTCTCTCCATCTGCACACATGTACTGAGGACCTCCATGTCAGGCACTAGATGGACATGGGCTCAAAGTAGGGAAATTGACACTAAACATGCATGGCAAAAAATACCAAGTTCAGATATGAGGACTGAGGTGGGAGAAGAGAGCCAGGCAAGGAGACAAGCCCCATCGGGAGAGCCTGGGGGGCTTCCCTCAACACGCGAAGGAGGGGAGGGAAGGGAGAGAGGCCCACGCCAAGGGGAGGACTCAGGGAGGACAGAGATGGGCATTTGAGGAGCTGAGGGACCCGAGGAAAGGAGGCAGACACCGGGTGCTGCAGGGTTTCACATGGACGTTCACAGTTGGCATTTCATCCTGAGTTCAGGGAAAGCCATAAGAGGGTTTTAGGGGATTGACATAGTTGGGTTTCTGGTTGAAAGATGGCAATCACTCATGTTTTCTGACCAGCACACACTTCTGCCCACTACTTCATCCTCACAGTCATCCCCTGTGGTAGGCACTCTTTGTCATTTTCCAGATGGGAAAACTGCAGCGAAGAAAGATGAAGTGCCTCTCCCAAGGCGTCACTGCTGGAATGGATGGAGCCCATGCTCTTTCCCTCTTTGCTACAGAATGTTCCCTCTGAGCCGTGATGAGGCAGGCAAGGTGGGAAGAAGTAGAAGGATTTGAGATAAATAACTTGGAACCACGTATGAGGCAGGGGGAAGACAGGTGACAGGGCAGGGCCCAGGTTTCTGGCTCGGGCCTCTGGGTGAAAGGCCATTTAGCAAAAATGCTGGAGGAGGTGCAGGTCCAGAAGACCACTCGAGATGTTCCTGTAATTCACATGATGCCTTGCCTGGAGAGAGCACCTTGCAGTTATCAAAACTAATTTGTCTTGGAACTTGGCTTGGAGAACTCAAGTTCAGCCAGAGGAGGTCAAGTCCAGAGGTCAGCTGAGGAAGGGAGGAGGAGATGGGCACAGATCTGTCAGGCCAGGGAAGATGAGCTCAGATAAAGATCAGGAAGCCAGGCCAGGTGCCCAGGGAACAGCAGGCTGGGGAGGGTTTGGGGAATCCTGGGGGTGCAGGCTCTTGTTGGTTTGGTTAGAGGCTGTAAACTCCAAAGGCCACAGGGGCCAGCCAGGTCCCCTGATGAGTGGAGCAGGCTGGATCTAAGACCCTAGAGTGCTCAGGCAAACTGCACATGTCACCGCCCCTCAGCTGCTGCAGCTGGTGGCCACGTGGCAGTGCCAGGGTCACACACACAGATGAGGAGAAGCTGGGCCCTGTTTAAACATCACAGTAGCCTGTGAGACAGTCCCCAGATCCTCCAATGCTTCAAGAGGAGCTGGGCACCATGGTTAAGTGAAGTTTCCCGAATTTTAAGTGTTGGTCATTTGTGTTTAAAAATGTGAAAACAAAAGAAAGAAAAGTGCAGCCAGACAGAGCCTCTCCGCCTGCACGTGGTTGCAAGGCCGAAGTGGACAGAGGCGGTCTCACCCCAGGGGCCTCCCAGGGACCGACGTTCCCATGGCGGGGAAGGTGTCACTCCGGAGCTACAGAACAGCAGGGCCGGAGCAAACAAAACCAGCCCAGCTGCCTCGGCTGTTCCAACAGGAGCTACACTGGAGACATTTTAAAAATAAATGGGGTGAGAAGAAAGAATTCTCCAGAAACTTTGGTTCTTCTGTAATGGCAAGTATAATTGCAAAAAACATCTTGTCAGCCCGTAAAATGGCACTTTCACGGGTTTTCTTAGCAAGAGAGCTAGATGGGCAAGAACCAAGCGTTCAAGTTCACGGACCGTTCGAGCCCAGTTTGCTTTGCTGTGTTTTGTAGCCATTAATTTCCCCCCACCAATTACCACCAGTCATTTTGCAAAGTTATCATTACTACTGTTTAAAAGAAAAAAAAAAAAAAAAAGCATTGCTCATTTTAGAAAGCTGTCTGTCAAAAATGCTTAAAATAAAAGCAGTCTTGGCACTCGAAGGAATAAGTACCATTTATCTTGAAAGCCACTTGGGTAAGAATTTCTCAGCAGTGTTGGCTACATGAACTGTTGATGGATTTGCGAGAAAGTGCAGGTGTTTATGGTCCATGGCCTTTGGTGAGTGGGCATTTTTAAGTTTATTTCTTTATTCAACAAATATGTATTGGGCACCTGCTGTATGCAGGGTGATATCCTAGGCCTCGGGGATGCAGTATGAACCAGGCAGAGATGATTCCTGCCCCGTGGAGCTGACCGTCTGTCTGGTGGGGCTCACCAGCCATCGGGCAGGCCGTGAAAGTCCACTGGGAAATAGGGCAAGTCCAGGACCCAGGCAGAGCAGAAGAGGAGACCAGGCAGGCGGGGCTGGTGGCATTGCCAGAGAGTGAGTGCTTCCCACGACTGGCTTCATGCTGTTCTCTCACCAGCCTTACTCAATATGTAAGACAATCTCCATTTTATGGAGGGGGAAACTGAGGCTATAGAGAGGCCCCATAAGAGGCCAGGGGGCCAGGCCCCAGCTTGCCTGGCTGCACAGCCGGTGTCCTCACACTTCGTGGGGCAGCCTCTCCAGCTGCAGGTGTGGACATGTCGCCGTGCGGGGCCCAGACCCTGGTCTCCACCTGCCCAGCTTGCTCTACCCCTGCATGGGTTCAGCCGCGTACATAGCGTTCATTGGGGGCTAGAAAATGGCCACGTCTGCACAAGTGAGACCTGTGTTCATTCTTGTTCTCAAAGCTAAGGACTTTCTCTGGAGTTTTTTGGGTTTTTGGTTTAGGTGTGGTTTTTTCATTTTGTTTTGTTTGAGACAGGGTCTCTGTCGCCCAGGCTGGAGTGCAGTGGCACAATCGCAGCTCACTGTAGCTTCAACTTCCCAGGCTCAAATGATCCTCCCACCTCAGCCTCATAAGTAGCTGGGACTATAGGTGTGTGGCATCACAGCCAGCTAATTTTTTGTATTTTTTATAGAGGCAGGGTCTTGCTCTATTGCCCAGGCTGGTCTTGAACTCCTGGGCTCAAGTGATCCCCCCGACTCAGCCTCCCAAAGGTCTGGGATTACAGGCATGAGACACCGCGCCCGGCTTGTTTTGTTTTTAATGATGACATGTGCGATGTCAAGAATCCCTAATGAGGACAATCATGTAAACCATTACTTTGAACATGACTATCAAATTAGGTATAATCTGCTCATTTGCTGATTGATGGCAGGCATTAACAATTCACAGTGTCATACAGTTTCAGAACCACCAGGGTTCTCAGGCCAGCCCCTTTGCTTCTCAGAAGCGGCATGGAGACGCAGAGAGGATAAGTAGCTGGATCAAGGTCAGGGGGTGGTGCCGGAGCTTAACCCTGTGCTCTTTCCATCTGGTCACCTGATGCCTTCAGTGGACCTCAAGCAGCCTTGCCCTTGGCCTTGCTGATAAACTTCCCCTGAGGAGTCGGGAGACAACGGGTGCAGACCCCTAGGGTGCTGACCATAGGCCACAGCCTTCAGGGAGCTGGTGAGGGGACCACACCAGGCGCGCCCGGCTCCTGCGAAGGGCCCTCCTAGCAGTGGTGAGGCCCAGCAGAACAGCCTTAGAAACTTCCAGGCTCACCGTCATAAATCCTGTGTGGCTACAAATGGTGACAGAATGAGAATTCAAGGAAACAGAAAGAGTTGCCCTGTTGGGAAAAACGTCCCAGGAGGAAGAGGAAGTGTGTGTACCAGGCGGAAGTGCTCCTTGGCCTATGCCCTGTGTGTGCCGCGCCTCGCTGAGCAGGGAGGCCTGGGATCCTCTCCGGGATCTGCCCCCACTGGCCTCTGGCTGCTCCCTCTGCCAGTGCTCCAGCCTGGCCAGGCTTTCAGTTGCTGGAATCGTCCACACTCCCCCTGCCTCCAGGCCCGCATCCTTTCTGCCGACAGCATGCCCCTTCTGCCCCTCTGACTCCCCAACTCTCCTAACGAGTTTTTCTACAGAGATTCTATTTTAGATGCCCTTTCCTCCACGAAATACTCAGATCTGTTTTCACACAGAAGGCGTGCCTTTGTCCTGCTTGTTTTCTCCATGCTGGCTGGGAGTGGCCGCTGACTAGTCTTTGTCCCGCACTCTCAGGTAACAGACCACGCCACCACTGCCCTGCTTCACTATCAGCTGCCCCAGATGCCGGATGTCGTGGTCCGATCCTTCATGGTAAGTGGCTTCAGGAGTCTGGTCTCCTGTTTAAACCTTGGCTCCCTTCAAGTGAGAACAGGGAGCTTGAAGGGCAGCCGTTGCATCTTCAGACTTTGAGGGCCTCCCAGTGGGAGATGGGGCTGCCAGTTTAAAACTGCTACTTTCTTTAAACTGGGAAGGGATCTGGGAGAAACCACTTCCAGCCTCATTCACTAGTGCTTTCTTCTACTTGCTGAAAATGCGGTGTTTTCAGAAATGATCTTCCAAAATAGTTCCCAGCATTGACTTAGTCCACAGATACTTCATTGAGCTCCTAATCTGGGCCAGGCCCTGTGGCTGGCGCAGCACATGTCGCAGTGAATTAAATCGCGCAGTTCTCCAAGACGTTTACTCCTTCGATTTTCAGAGTTGGAGCTGGAGATGGAAGCAGCCACAAAGCAGCCATTCCTGTGGTGTGCTGCAGCCGGCTCCTGCCAGTGCCTGTTCAGTGTCTTGCGAGCTGGTTCTTCAGCCACTACTAGTTTGAAATCAAACTTGGTGGGAGTGTGGACACCACGGAAATCAGCAAACACTGCAAATCAGGACTTTCCCCGACCCCAGGGCCAGTTGATCAGCATTTATCACACGGCCACCAGTTGGCCTAAGCAGGGCTAACACCATGTCCCCCGCATCCTTGACAGACGTAGCCAGTTGTTGCACCGTCATGCTCACACGGCCGCGTGCTCTTACGCCGGCAGACCCCAGCATCCACCGCTGCCGGGACTCCCTAGAAAGTCTGCCGGTTAGAGAACCGACTCCAGAGACTCACCTGTTAGCAAGGCCCAATCAGTGTTCATCCCATCACATGAGCATCAACAGTCCCACTGCTCAGAGAGCCTGGAGTTCATTCGTCGGAAGACACATCCCTGGCACATTGATTGGCTTCCTGATGGTGGCAGACTGGGCACAACACGGCCAGGTGCTCAGAGCTCCTCACGGAGTGGTCCTTCTGTATGTCCAGGGAACAGTTCCCCTGCTCCAATTTCAGATAGCTGCAAAGACTTGCTTTTGAGCCTAACACGTTGTAATGCCCCCTTTCCCTTTGGTAACTGACTTTGGGATTCAGGGAAGATTTGAATCCCAGTGACTCCACTCAGGAGGCTGAAGCAGGAGGATCGCTTGAGCCCAGGAGTTCGAGGTTACGGCGAGCTATGATCGATTGCACCACTGCACTCCAGCCTGGGTGTCAGAGTGAGGTCTGGCCTCTTAAAAAAAAAAAAAAAAAGGAACCCTTTTCCTCTGTCATAGCACTCAGCACTGTGCTCAGCCCACACCAGCCAATTAATACCAATCTGTTGATTGATTGATTTGAGGCACAGACATGAGTACTATTTGTGGCAGAGACAGAACTTCTGCTAGTTAGGGAAGAATAAGTAGTTTAACTGAATGACCTCGTGACCTCGTGTTTATTGCCAAAACCCCCAAACATCTGGCCTTTGGAAAGGGGGACAGGACTGATGGGCCATGCCCTGTCACCATGAAGGCAGCTGTGTTGAAGATGGAGATGGAAGAATTTGTATCAATAAGCTCGGCCGACCTCTTCGAGTAACAGTTTTCTCTTATAGACATAATTCAGGAGGACATGAAATGACAAGATTCATGTGCCCCTTTCACAGCGAGAACTTGCTTGCCTTCCGTTTGGGGTTTGGGTATTTTTTTCTTTGGTCGTGAATCTCCTTGGGTTTGAGAATTGAGTTACGGGAGGCTCATCCTTATGTATGACGCCCAAGAAAGCTCTGCACTCTGAACCACTCAAGTGTGGATTTGCTGCTTATGATGTTATTTAGTGGCACCAGAGCTGTCCCCATCCATCCCCCCAGTGTGTCAGGCCACACTGTGACAGTGAGTGACGACCTCTGAAATCAGATTAGCTAGAAGGCATGTTGACCTCCTCGGAGAAATCTGAAATTGTCCTCGGTTCCAAGGCTTCCTTAGCACACACCCACAGCCCGCTCTTAGTGGTGGGCAAGGAGAAGAGGATGGATACTGACATTCAGAAGACACGAGACCCAGAAAGTGAAAGCGGGGTGCTGGCCCCCAGATGCCAGGCTGCTCGGTGGTTCCCGGGGACTCCAGAGAGGCCTTCCTGCTTTTGAGAGTAGGGGTTTCTATTTTCAAAACCCCCTCGGCTGGGAGGGGCAAGCGAGCATCACAAGTGAACATCAGCAGTCAGGTGACCTTGTGGGTTCCGCCTGCTGCTCCCTGTGAAATCATGGGGCGTCTTCTGGGGCCAAAGCCAACTTAAGTTGTCTGGGCCATTAGGCTTGATAGGAAGAAGGACTTTGGGAGCACCCATATCCCATTCTTTCACTTCTCTCCTCGTTTCTCTTTTTAGACCTGGTTAAGAAGTTACATAAAGCTGTTCCAGGCCCCGTGCCAGCGCTGCGGGAAGTTTCTGCAGGACGGCCTTCCCCCGACGTGGAGGGATTTCCGAACCCTCGAAGCCTTCCATGACACCTGCCGGCAGTAGCCCCCACGCTAGCCCCAGCCTCAGACCCCACCCGGCACCTTCCCAGACACACAGGAAGCCCACAGAAGGCTCAGCTGGTTCCTCACTGCCCAGATGTATACAGCCACTCCTCCCTTTCATAAAACAGCGCCATGTGTGCTGAGGCCACTCTCGAAGAGCAGGCCCCCTCTGTGGCCGATGGGACTAATTATTGCCACTAGCCAGTAGACTGAAGGCAAAGAAGAATTTTCTAGAATCTGGTAGAAGGAAGCTGTGCAGCATGCTCCTCGTCCGCGTGTCAGCAGTGCTGGTGAGCTGACCTCCGGCCGCCGTGCCTGTCTGTCGTTTCCGTGAGCTGTTACTGGAATGAGCCCTTGTGTTCATGGCGATCGTCATGCAGGGTTCTTGTGTTTTGTGGGGTTTTGGGTTTGGTAACTTATTTTTATAAGCAATAAACCTTTTGTACCCTGGACAAGGCTTTGTCTCCTGTTTCTTACGGCACCTTATAAGAACTACACATTCAGTTCATGAACCGTAATGCACCTGGGCCCTTTGAGGAAACAGAAACCAGCACATCCCATGTTCACCAGGTGGTTCTTTTTGAGCAGGTACTGCCCTGTGTCCTGCTTGCCGGGGAGAGGGCAGTGCTGGCAGATCCTCTATTTCAGAGACACTGTGATGGCTTGAAAAATGGATGATTCTTTTTGAGAAAAAGAGCATGCAGAAGTTTCTTTTTACTAAACCAGTCACATGTACACCCCAGAGGGAAAGGAACCCGCCCGGGTTAGCCGGCCAGACGCGCGTGAGCAGCACTCGCTGGGGTGTCGGCTTGTGGGCGCCAGGTTTTGTCCTCAATATTACTGTGACTTGATCCCAGCCCCATCTCCCGACTTTGTTCAATGCTTCAGCGCCAACTTTTAAAGCCATAGCCTGCTTCTGTGAAGATCGTTGACCTGGTAAAGGGCTTGAGGAGGGTGGTGGCATCGCCCAGAGCCCGCCTGGTCAGGCCCATGCTAGAACAATGTTCTCTTTGCCATGAACAAAGCGTCAAGAGAGATGACGCCTTCTGAGATGTCCAGAAAAACCAGTGGGTCCTCCCTGGCTTCTGGTACCACCCAGCCTTCCCCCCACCCCTGGCCGAAAAGAGCCAGAGAATGGAGAGGGTTTACTGCTGAGGGCTCTAGGACACTGCCTGCCCACGTGGCGTCCCACCTGCAGCACTGCCACTGTGGGAGCTTATTAGAAATACACATCCCCAGGTGGGGCGCGGTGGCTCACACCTGTGATCCCAGCACTTGGGAGGCCAAGACAGGTGGATTACTTGAGCCCAGGAGTGTAAGACCAGCCTGGGCAACATGGCAAAACCCCACGTCTACAAAAAATACCGAAAAAAATTAGCCAGGCATGGTGGTGTGTGACTGTAGCCCCAGCTACTCGGGAGGCTGAGGTGGGAAGATCGCTTGAGCACAGGAGGTCGAGGCTACCCCTCTACACTCCAGCCTGGGAGACGGAGCAAGACTCTATCTCAAAAAAAAAGAAAGAATTACACATGCTCCAGGGTGGGGTCCAGCAACCTGATCTTTACCTCCAGGTGACTGTCACGTGCACTGGCACCTAAGGCCTCTGCCCAGGAGAAATGGCCATGCTTTGATGGTCCACTCGGGGAAGTGGGAGAGGCACTCAGGGAAGTGGGAGGGGCACACGGGGAAGTGGGAGGGGCACTCGGGGAAGTGGGAGGGGCACTCGGGGAAGTGGGAGGAGCACATGGGGTAGGGCTGGATTAAATCCCAGGGGTGGCCGTAGATTAAATCCCACACCTACTTTGTCAAATTCAAGATGCCAGTGCTCCTAAGATACATGATTACGAACCACTAATAAAACCATGCAGCCAATTAAACCCTGGTCTTAATGATAATCCTGTGTGACACGTGAATCCGTCGCACTAGCCTTTCATTGCTTTGACGTTTTCTTTCATCTATTCCAAGGGAGTAGTCATTTCTCCTGCCTTCAGTCTTGCTGTTTAGTCTGTGATAGGCGATCCGTTTACACCACTCCCAGTAACAGACCAGCACACAGCTTCATTGACTTGCCCTGTCCTCCTTTCTTTGGTCTTATAAGACACTTGTTTCTTTGTTGCATTGCAAGAAAAGATGGAATTGAGGATGTCGGGTACACAATAACACTTTGTCTCAGTGCCGCACATCTTTCCGGAGACATTTAAAAGGCAAGTAAACTGACCCCGAGCGGTAGGAACGATGCGCATAGCTCATGCGAAGTGACGACAGTATGACCAGCTATGACCAAGCTGGAGCATGTGCAGATAGTGACACGCACGTCGTGACTGCCAGCTGGCAGACGGCACACGCCAGAGACGTTCAAATGTGGAAAAGCATGTATCTGAGGATTGATGGATTTGTGGTCCTGGTAAATCTCATTGTGAGAAAGCGATCTGGGTTTGTAACTGTTTGAATCCTCCCGATTTGCAGCGAGTCTGAGAACATCCCCATTGGCACTAAAGGTCGCTCCAATTCCCGCCAGTCTCTGTTTTCAAAAGAGAGAAGAGCCTTGAGGTCACAGTCAGGGGCAGGTGCCGTTTCTACTTGGAACTAAATGGCACTGGTTTTGTCTTCTCTGTGTCGTCCTCAGAGAAACCTGTTTATCGCAAATGATGCCGGTTTCCCATTTACAGGAGTGATACAAAGTGTCCATTTAAAATAAATTTATTTAGGTGAAAAAGTGTGACTATTAAAGAAAAACATTAAATAATAGCACAGAAAGAGCGTGGCTGTGACAGAAAGTGTGAAGGATGTAGGCAGGTGGCGGGGGGCGGACACACTGCCCAGGCCTGCACCCCAGCCTTCTGCTAGCGGTGGAAGGAGCCTAGAGAAGTCACTTCATCTGAGAACCCCATGCCCTCATCTGTGAGATGCGAGGCTGGTGATTGAGCCATGGTGGAGGGGCTGGGGGCTTGGAGATGGAACAGATCGGCCGTGCGTTGGTCATGGGGAGGCTCCACAGTGGGGGCACACATGCTGCCTGCTGTTCTGTTTTCCTGCTTTTTAACAATCCCTAATTAAAGAGGGAGATTGAGGCCGGGCATGGTGGCTCACTCACTCCTGTAATCCCAGCACTTTGGAAGGCCAGGGTGGGTGGATCACTTAAGATCAGGAGTTCGAGGCCAGACTGACCAACATGGTGAAACCCTGTCTGTACTTAAAAAAAAAAAAAAAAAAATGCTGGGCATGGTGGCCTGTGCCAGTAGTCCCAGCTATTCAGGAGGCTGAGGCAGGAGAACTGCTTGAACCCAGGAGGCGGAGGTTGCAGTGAGCCAAGATCGCACCACTGCACTCCAGCCTGGGTGACAGAGTGAGATCTCATCCCCTGTCACGGAAGGTTGGAGGAAAACAAGAGCCTGAGCAGCTAGCCTTTAAGGCCTTCCCATCGCTGACATGCTCCACCTTCAATCAAGGATGAACGGGAGTATATTTGAGATCCAGAAAGGAGAAAGGGACTGGAAGGGTGATGGGTTCATTTGCCAAACCCTCAAAGGCTGGGTCCTCCGGGAGATGAACGTGAGGGAGGCCGGCTCTGTGTGTCTCCCACTGAAACAGAATGCACTGACCTGAAGTTGACACAAATGGCGACCAAGGTGGGTTGAGGTCAGTTCCAAGATGGTGGACTGCAAGGGAAGCCAGAGACGCCGCCGCTGTGAGGATGGTCACCAGGCCTCAGAGCCATCCTTTGGTGCCTGTCACTGAAAGGAAGGTGGCCATCGATGGGTGCTGGGTCACCAGGAGCAGAACATGAGCTCGACTGTCCAAGGATGGGCCAGGTGCAGCAGCTCACACCTATAACCCCAGCACTCTGGGAGGCTGAGGTGGGAGAATGGCTTGAATCCAGGAGTTCAGGACTAGCCTGGGCAACATAGCAAGACCCCATCTCTACAAAAGAATTTTTTTTTTTCAATTAGAAATAGACTATCCAAGAATGACCTCTAGGCCCGACCTACAAGGTATTTTATGTGACTTAATTAGGGCTCCTACAGTGCAGCACCTCTGCTTGCCAGGCGCACTACACTGTTGGCTAATTTAACCCCGGGCTGGGGGGTGCGTGTTTTCCCTGTTTATTAGATGAGAAACCAAGCAGAGAGGCTCACGCAGTGGCACACGGAGGGGCTGGCTGCCAGGGTGGCCACAGCCGGGCTCCGTGGCTCCTCAGCAGCAAGGGACTGGCCCCGCCGTGCTGCATTGGGCGTGGCCTGAGCCAGAACCCTCAGCCAGAACTTGACTCCTCTGTCTTGCCAGTGCTTCCCGTGGCCACCAGAGGCCGGGACGGCGTTACCCCATGCTGTCTGCTGGCCAGGTGACGGTGAATCCCCTGGGTGCCCAGTGGGAACTGACAGAATGGAGCGAGGAGGTCTATGAAAGGTGGTCCAGATTTTTTTTTTTTTTCTGAACTAAATTGGGAATTGGCCTTTTGGTACGGAGTGATGTTTTTCCACTTCACACCACTGACTGCACGACAGGCTGATCTTTCCGTGTTAATGTGCAAACTCACCATTGCATTTAGGGTGTCGGAGTGTGGGCCTGCTGCTAAATCGAGAGCCTTTTAAGGGCACTGGAGTTGGGAGGGGCAGGGACGACACCAGGATTCTCACAAGATCTGAAGCCCCTGCAAACCTGACGGGAGGCACTGTTCGGCCATCAGGTCTGTGGGTAGAAGACAGAAAAGGACAAGGCGCCCTTCTAATCTGTGCCCCCAGCCTCCACATCTCCAGCAGCATGTGGCAGATGATGGGGAGCCTCATGGTTCTGGGCCTGACAGGACACAGTGGGCCGGCCCCATTACACCTGCTCACCTGCTGAGTCCACTCAAGGCCGAATGATCTGCACGTCCGAAACCGTGGACGAGAGGCAGTGGATAATTAGGCTTCACTCTCTAGGACACGCAGGGGCCCTTTTTCCCCAGTCTCTGCCATCCCTCCCCCACTCTCCTTCCCAGCCAGGTCCTTACATCCGGGGAAAGGAACTTCAGAAACTCACTTTCAAGTTGAATTTTAAATTGCAGGCTGCCTGTGCCCTGTTATTAGTACTTGAAGAGGTAAACCTTGAGGTTCACAGCACATACCAGGTAGAGCACTTGGCAGCTCTGCGATCATTAGTTACTTGGGAGCAGCTCCAGCCTGTCTCGGCGCTAATTGAGTTTGAAATTTCAGCTGCAGATTGACTGTCCTCGGTGTGAGCTGCAGTTTGGCGCTAAGGGAACAGGCAGGTCCTGCTGGCAGCGGCTTCATCTGCAGCGTGCTCCTCCCAGGCTTGATAGAGACAATGACCTGTGCCTCCAGGGAAGAAGGGACAAGGGAGGGGCTGAGGCCAGGGGGACAGGGAGAGGAAACTGAGACCACAAGCTGGAGAGCCAGCCCGGGACAGCAGCAAGCGATTGTCAGCACCCGCCGTGCTCACACCCTGCGCT